ATAAACGAGAAAACATATGGAAGGCACTACCGACATAAAATGCGCAAGTTCAGATCAACATATCTTATTTCCAACTCACAAGATAGCATTTACTGCAAATTAAGATAATTATCGACTGGACTTAGACTTTTGAGACGTTACTGAATGTAATAAAAATCAAATCCAAGAGAGTTTATAGCTCCTTTAAAAGCAATTTGTTGGGGTTAAATATTTATACCGTTTAGTGCAACGCTAATGAAGTATACATAAAGAGCGGGAATAAACTTGTATTCATTTGTGATAGCTAAAATTTGTTAAAACACTGTTTCAGTAAGTTTTTAAACAGTTAAGCCCGCCGCACACGTGAGCTATCAGCTGAGCTAAAGATCACGCGTCGCTGTTAGCTCAGCAAGTTACTCTCGTGTGCGGATAGTTTTTCGTGAGGAATTCGCCTCGAGAGGCAAATTTCTCTCGTGTGCGGATGGTTTTCGGGCTGTGCTAACTGCCTCGCGAATTCGTTAGCTCAGCTAATAGAGAGTTTGGGAAACGCGACGTCGTCACGACGGCAACGTGGAAACGTGCGCGGTTAGAGTGGATCGAGTTAGAATCCACGTTGCGAGACTGGTCGCCGTTCTGTTGCCAACGCCAGTTGAGCTATTTTGCCGTAGTCTTGACAACCTCGACTTATTATGGATGCAGAGAAGTAAGTTTATACTGTTTTTTTTAAGTTTTGTTGATTTAAGGACATCAAAAATGAGCAAGGTCAATAACAAATGACAAAAAATAAGGAAATATATGTTTTTTGCAGAAAACTTCCTCCCATGAAATGGACGCCAGCTCATGACAAGCATTTGCTTCGTGAAATACTAGCCGAGCGACCCTTCGACCATCCCAAAGGATCTCGTCAAATCGGAGCTGTTTGGCAAAGAATCGCAGACAATCTTAACTCGAAAATAGAAGTTTCATTTAATTTAACCAGCATTAGAGGCGTCAGAGAAAGGTATGGGCTGCTAGAAACGAAGTATAAAAGAAACATGGCGAGCGAGCTGAATTCGAGTGGCGTAAATATCGAACCGAGTGAATTTGACCTGGCAATGGAAGACATTGTGGGTCAATTTGCAAATCAAGAAGAAAATACGTTAAAGATTAAAGAAGCTAAAGAGGCTGCAAACTTGTCTAGTAAAACAGAGGCAGAAAACATACGTCGAACGGCCATGGAGACTTTTGGCGAGACAAAGAAACGCGAGAGAGCAAGCGAAGACCGAGATTCTGACGAGGAAGAAGATAGTTCTTCCTCTTCATCAGGCGTTTACCGCTCTGCCAAGAAACGCAGATCGAATGTTATGGATTATTTGCTGAAATCATCTGAGTCTGAAAAAGAAATTAGACAACAAGAGCTAGAAGTAAAGAAGATGGAAATAGAGATTCGGAAGCAAGAATTGGAAGCGCAAAAGAAACGAGACAAGAGTATGCTCCTAGCAATAATGAAACTTGCAAACAAGGACTAAACCTATTTCGACAACAATTTTGAGTAAAAACGTGAGATGCTTATTTTTTTGCAGTCTTTATACTGTGCATATGTTGTGTTTTTGCTGTTGTTTGTATTTCGCATGAAATGATTACACTGTTATTTTTAGGGAGTTATTTTAACACCAAAAAAGGGGTCAAAAAAAAAGGTTCAAAATGAGTAGCTTTTTGGAGTAACAAATAACTCCACTTCTGGTGTTATAATTTAACACCGCTTTTGGAGTTAATTTAACTCCAATTCTGAACTTAAAACATAACTCCATTTTTGGAGTTAAAAACATTTAACACCGTTTTAGGTGTTAGGCCGGTTTTCTACTATATAGGTAAATTACTTCGATCGAAGGAAATTTTTCGCTTGATTTTCTTTTCAATTGTGATCTATCCAGTAAATCTGCCTCGGTTTAATTTCACAATTGAAAAGATAAATAAATTGAGCGAAATATTCCGTTCCATCGAAGATTTCTACCTATAATACCGATCGAGTCAACAAACAATGCAGCACAAATATCGTTATTATATTATTATAATATTGAATACATGAGATCAATTACATTTCTGTTTGAGTACAGCAAGTCAACTACGCATTAAAGGAATTGCTTCTATAGTATAGCTCTTTAATACTTTTTATTTACACTTTAACACACATGCACATTTGCAAAAAATTTAGAAAATGTTTTTAAGTGGAGTACCATGCATGCCCAAAACATAATGGTATAGTAATTAAGACACTGGTTGTTCAGTTCTACTAGAGCTCTACTAAGCTAAGACTCACTGTACCAAGATGATGACCTGGCTGTATAAGCAATACTGATCCACGTTTCTTCTTTTACAATTTTTCTCGTAGTAAAATTTTCGGAGGTTTCCTGTTGTGCCAATTGCACGAAACGAGTCTTCAATCTACGAACAAATAGAAAAATTGCATGTATATGAGTGTAAATTCGAGTAGTGTGCTTTGTATGCATATAACAGAGCACATTGTTCAACAGACCTTCAAAATCTATATGTTCTATGTGATCCACAATGCAAACATACTCAAACAAATAAGCAGAAACATGTGAGTATAAGGAAGGAATAATTTCAAGTAACTTAGGCTTAGCTAATATAAAAAGAATAGGAAAAAAATTCCACATACCTAGATTTACTGCATCATGGTAAGTTGCTTCGTCCATTGAGAATTGAACAGTTATTTTGGGGTGTTTTCAACATCGTTCCTAGGTTAGGGCCTGGTTAGGGCTTTCCTGTATTGAAATTTGTGTTTGAGTTTCCCATTGGCATTGCTTCTTCTACCCTCTACCGGGCATTGTGGACTTCTGTCCTAGCTTCTACTGCTTCTAAAGATACGAATTCGAATTGTTATAGACTATTAAAATATCCCAGGAACTTTAAGGTAAATATCGGAGGCTCGCGATATCATGTATTCATGCTGATCAGAAACAAAAAAATACTTCGCCGTCAGTTTTGCGACTGAAAAACTCTTTGGCAACAGCCCCCAGAAAAATAAATCGACCAGCATCAAAAATGATAGAAACAACTATTTGAAAAACATTTTAGAATCAAACTATAAGAATCTTGCAATAAATTTGTCTGTTTTTGCAGGCCAAGTTAACACAATAAAAAGGCGGGAAGACTAAATGCAAGAAAAACTTCAAATATTTACCTTAAAATAGCTCGCACTAGTCGCCAAATCCAGCTTTTCGCATCTAAAATCGCAAGTCCTCTACTAAGTTTACAATTTTCGAATGAAAAGTACCGAGAAAGAGAACTTTTTACGGAGCAAGCGAGGGCTTCGTGTGTACTTTGCAAATATTTCGCCAAGAAAGACCCGGCCACTGAGCTGTATAAAGACCTGAAGTCTTAGCATAGGTGTCCCTGGCAATTCAACACACATCATGAGGTTCTCTTTTTCTTGATTAGTTGACTCAGTTTGTCTTGATTTTAAAATCAACTGTCAAAATTTAAAATGAAAGTTAATGTTAGGATACTATCAGTAATGTTTTTGCTTTATTAATTTATGAACATATTCTGTGGTACCTAACAAACACTTATTTCTTCAGTTTAATTAATCTATGATTTGATGTTGTTGGTGATTTGTATAAATGTTATTGAGGTCTCCAATTGGGACAATGGAAAAGACATATAAATTAATTATTTTTCATACATGAAAATTTAACTTTCATGAGCCCTCAAGAATATTAATTCAAAAGGTCAAATTTTTTAAAATTGATTTGTGATTAAAACCTGCCTTGCAATACATATTGTGTATAATTATAGCTCTAAATTATCTGCACAGTTTAATGCTTGATTCACATGATCTGCACTGTTCAATGCATGGTTCTTTGACAGATAATATTAACACAAAATAGTTTTTTCAAAAAATTGTATTTATAGCCTTATGAATATATATAGCTTCATAATCATATATAACATGTTTAAGGGTCAGTTTTGAGAGATGTATTACTTAAAATTTTGTAGCATAAAAGACCACATTTGATATGGAAGACTGCAAATCACCAAGCTTTTAAATGCCACTTAACTCTCACATATATATGTTATCCAAAAATGCACCAATCAAATGTTTATAGCACTTCTTGGTTGGGTAAATAGCTAATGTGCATTTGAGGAATGGATATTACAATGTCCCATATTACCTGGTTATTTTAAGGTGATCCTGAATATAAAAATAAAGAAAATTCATTGCAAAATAATTAACAAAAAACAGAAAAATTTTTATTATTTGATTTATTATAAACTGAAATAAACAAGCATGCTTGGATTTCTTGCACATAAAGAGGTAAAAAACAGTTTTATTGAATATTTCATGAATAAATCATGTTTTAAAGTACCAAAAATATAAACCTGGGGAATTCGCATGTCCATAAATATATCAAATGAGCTCTTTTATAAAGTTTGTTTGAAAATTTGATTTCGAAAAAACTTCAATTAAGGCCTTCCAGGCTAGAAATACAAGACTGTAAGTTATGATATTTTTAATGCGCTGAATACCTTATATGATAATGCGCTATACGATGTATAACGATCGGTTGTCAATGCTTTACTCCAGCCGATCGACCATGTATTTCGCTATTTAATGATTGGTTCTATGACATTTATCGTTATAAACTTACCAGAACTATCCGAGGCAATCTTTTCATCACGTATTCTGATGTAGTAAATGATTTCAATACAAGGTTTTGTTCAATTTCAATAAAAATTATCATTAACGCGATGTGCATCACCAATCTTCACTCCTTGTTTTCAAATCTCCATTATGAATATATAATGAGAGGAATTTAACTCCAAAAATGGAGTTAATTTCTCTAACCCCTCTAGATGGGATTATTTTTGCATACTAATCAACGTTCGAAGACCTCGTTACTCCACCGAGGAGTTAATATAACTCTAAAAGTGGTGTCAAAATAGCACCAAAATTTAACACCCCGAAAAATGAAATTTGGGGGTGTTAAAATAACTCCCTGAAAATAACAGTGTAGTACATTTTATTATTCATTCAAGTAGCTATTGCTAAAAGATATCAGAACAAACTACTAAACAGTAAACACTACGAATGTTCAGGATATCATTTTGTATATGTTTTGACTTCCAGTGAATAAAATGTTAACCATACTTACTGTTTTGTTTTGTTTAAAAAAATGTAAACAACACAATGGCGGGTACAAAACGATGTAAATTTCATAATTGAAATAGACAGGATAATAATTAATGTCTAACTTTATACTGACAACAACTTTATTTACAGCGTTATTGCATCTAAAATACAAAATATTAATATGAAGTTGGCACTTTACTCTTGTAGCTGTAGGTATTCTTCAAGTGTCGGTGGCTGCAGCTGAAAGTATTCCGACACAATGTTTCCGTACAAACAAGCGTGGGCATTCTGTAAAATTGCACAAACAATATATATCTTTCCAATTGGACTTAAACGAAGTTGAAGTCCTCGTTTAAAATCTGTACACCGAAAATACTTTACAATTTCTCCAAACAGCCACTCGACGGAGACACGAACAGAGTTCATAGCTTTATTGTATGCTTTCATTTCGTCGGTGAGGTTTGCATCACGAAATGGTGCTTGTAAGTAAACTCTTAACGGGTATGCAGGATCGCCGTAAATACACAGCGTTTCCCCAGTTGGAGAATATGCAATTCTTTCCAGATCCCTCATTAGACCTGACTCAGCTAGCATACCAGCATCATGTTTCCTTCCTTCTGCAAAAATAAATTAAAATGAGTCAAATCTTATGCGTGTATTTCAAACACTCATGGAATTGAAATCAGAGATCGACATCACAAACACGTATATACTTACCCCATGGTCCAGAAAGATTCGCAATCAGACCGTTGGGTATTACGATACTTTGAAATTTTATGCTATGTACTCTTTTGTGCCCGTTATACACATCCCTTTGGTGTTTTCCAGGCCTGCAAATTGGTCGTACCGTACCATCAATAAACCCAAAACAATTGCTCAAGGGGGCGCCTTTAGCATGGATGACATTGGCATACGTTTGTAGTGAGTCTTGGGTTAAAAATGGACTATCCCATCGCTGAAGTAAGTGTGACTTTCGGACATATATATGATTAAGAATAAGGTGGGTTATTTTGCAAAGATCTGGCACAGATCGTCCAAATCGTGGAACCATATCACAGTATCGACAAGGATACGCTAATCTCTTTAGAAGTATGCACAGGGCTTCCAGACCATGGCAGTAGCTTCCTTTGTAGAACTGAACTTCGTCTGGGATTTCTAAACAGCGTTTAAGGCGAAGGTCGAAGGATGTCAGCTTTCTCAAACCGCAGTTCGGTTTGACATGTAATTTCGTCATAATTTTCCCAACTGAAAGGAGTGTAAATCTTGTATGGAAAATTAGATTGCGCAAACTCATTTTTTCTCAACTCTTCGTCCAGTATAAGCAGCTGTGTGTCAGAAAGATGACCGTTTCGGTGAGCGATCAATAAAATATCTAAAATTTCCTCTCTACTTGCCATGCATACGACTGACGTTTTACCGTGCAGTGAGTGCGCCGTACTAAAAAGTATTTTGCATTTCCCAAACTAGAATTTTGGCGGGACGTTACACGGACTCGCCCCAGGCTAAAAAAATTGAGCGCTGACGTTGCCGTTGCGATCGCGGTGCGTTTCCCAAACTCTCTAATAGCTCTCGTGTGCGGCGGGCTTAATAGGAAGACGAGACCGTCCCTCTATAATCTATATCCAGTAAGTAAATCTTCTGACATGCTTCGATGCATGAATGTCGTCGCACGTAGCCAACTTTATGACATAGAACAATTCCTACATACATACACTTCATACATCAACAGGTAACGCTGCGCATGCCTGTATTGAGGTTCCTAGTCGTAATGCGCAAAAATCGAACAAAGTTGTTTTTCTTAAAAAGCTTGATTGTGTCATGCAATTTACACAACTTTACTTGCTGATAAAGTCTATTTTGATGGATAGTGTTAACCGAACCCGCGTCTAAATGCATCCAAGACTGGGGCCAGTTGTATCAAGCTCGTTTAGCTTAAACGGTGGATAAGTCAAAATTAGATAACGCTCTTACATCTCTCTTGAATGAGTGAACTTGAATATTATGCACTAAATATGTAGTTTAGTACAGTATCTTTGTATTAAGGTTAAAAACATTTAGTTTGCTTGTTGAGTAAAACAATAGACGTGCTTTCTATCTTGAACTTATCCACCGTTTAAGCTAAACGGGCTTGATACAACCGGCCCCTGGACAGTAAACATGCAGTTGCTTGTGACATATATATTCTTTACAATTGGAACTCAACGACTGTGTGGGCATAAACATATTTTGTGTATGCTCAAACACATGCACAAACATTAGTTTGCCTTCATTCGATATTCAGTAATTCTCTTGAACCCGTCTTTCTTAGTTGGACTTGTGCAAATTCTGGTTGTGTTGGTGGTAGATTACTTGCTTCTTTATCCTGAAGAGTTTCAAATATTTATATTCATTTCTGTTATTAGTGTTAATGTTATTACTATGCATTAGGTTCCGCAGAACTTACATTCTTTCCATGCTCCCGCTACGTTTTTTCTTAGTTGTGTTCTATCTGGGGTATAACTATAAGCACTTATATACCGGGTTTATCTCTTAAGCACACAAATTTTAAAAGAGGAACCGAATCCCTAATTTACCCCTATTCCTCCTTCTAAATACAGTGGGATTGCCAGCAGAATTTACATCAAATTTGTATACAACAAAAATTTACAAGATGCTCAAAAAAGTTAATAGAGAATGAGCCTTAATACGGCATACCTCATCTACTTTTTGTGATCTTTCTTTTAATTTAGTCGCCAAATCTAGATCCATATTTTTCTTATCGTCTTCGGCATGTGCCTTTTTATGTTGCATATTTGTCCAAACTTTACCAAGCTCGTTATTTTTCAGTTCAATCCCTCTAAAAACAAAACAATTTAATAAAAAGCAATATATTACAGTCGATTTCACATCACTTTTGGGGAGTGTTCAGTGTTGCCAAAATATTCCGAAGTTCGTTCCGAAGTTTGCCGCTGAACTTCCGACTTTGGTACTGCTTTGGTAGCGAGCTTCCTTTTGAATTGGCTCTCTTTAAAAGGGTGAACCACTGAGCTATATTAAATTCCTGGAGGACCGGCTCGCGGCCAAATCGTGTCCGCAAAAACATGGCGGATTTTGAGCTTTGCTGACGCCACATGGTTCCTTTTGCTCATGGTAGTTACCACTGACATACCGCGATCACAGAATACCTTACAGAAGTGGAACTCCTGTACTTTTTTCGTAAGTGTGATTCGTCACTTAGCAAGTGCATTTTTTTGAGGCTGTCACCCCCCTGCCAATACTAAATATGGCTTGATTTTAGACATTGGCAGGGGGGCGACTACCTCAAAAAAATGCACTTGCTAAGTGACGAATCATGACGAATCACACTTACGAAAAAATAGTATAGAGTTCCACTTCTGGTAGGTATTCTGTGCCGCGATACAAGGTGAAAAACTGTGTCCATCTCCCTCCTGGTTTTTATAAAAATATTTTCGGCTTTCGGTATATATTTTTTGTATTTCATATAAATCTTCTTTTTTCCTGTTCAACAAATGGAAAGGAGACGTAGCTTTGTGCTCTATATGTCTGACGTTGTGAATGGCTTAATTCACTTACCGGGGGAATGTTTTTTTCTCATTCGGCTGTTATTTTATGGCATCCAGGTAAGCCGGTTTTTATAACAATTTCAGTTTTTTGCCTTTGGACTCGAATATAAACTGATTACCAAAGGTTCTGAGCCATATAAATCCATCAAAACGTATGGTACGAACAGCAAATATACTATTTTAGACCTTTGGTACATGTGCACTGCAATGTTATATACTCAAACTTTATCATTTTCTTGACTTGTGTGGGGAAGGAATTAAATTCCTAGCAATGTCAATCTTTGAGTTTGGTCTATTTTGTTTTCATGATAGCAAACAATAATGTAAATAGGTAAACCTTCCCCCCAGTGCGTCTATTAGATTTAAGCAATAATTAACATGATCTAACTGACAAAAGTGCTGAGTGGGTGCTGATACAAAGTAATAGGATTTTTGCTGCAAACAGTGTAAATTTCAACCTCTGATGATGGTGACTGTTAAAACCTAGTTAATATATTATCTTGTTTGCCTTGTCAAATTCAAATCAATTATCATGGCTTATATTAATTGATTTTTTAACTTCTTGCACCTTGTGAATAAATCTTGTTCAGATCTCCATTTATATTTTTCAGGATGAAGATGCTATGAAATAAAGCAAGCTAGAGGTGGCTTATTAATTAATGAAATAAAGCAAGCTAGAGATGGCTTATTAATTAATTGTCATGCAATTTGTTGGAACATTGAACTGAGATGTATTAAGCATATTATACACATTCTTATGAATCTGCATTGTTATCCTTAATTACCATGTTATCTGATTTTGTTTTTGGCTGTTATTTTTATAACCATTGTTATATTTATAAAAGAAATAAATATAAACATGCATTGTGTGAGCAGTGTATCTTCAATTTGCAGCCACTTTCATAATTTTCTGTTTATGGTATCAAACTTCAAGAGGGCTAAATTCAATGGGCTAATCAGGAGTAATTGAGTCTATGGAGGGATGAATATTGTTCATTAATAAGACCAGGATCCAGGGGTGCAATTAGATAATATTGAAAACTTTTATAGCCCATTGAGGTACAATTAAGCTGATGACCTTACTGAAAAGTACATTATGCAAATATGACTCATGGTTGAAACTATATTCTTGCACTTAGTCAGCCGCCAAGCATCTTGCCCCTGAGCTTTGGCCTCTGTTTCTTTGGATTATACCTAGATATATTGTCCTGAAGACATTCAAGACCATTCAAGAAAACATTATTAATTGCATACTTTCAGTAATTCTGCTGTTTAAAATGCAATTAATGATGTTTTCATGACTTTATATTTCAAAAAAACAAAACAAGTTTTCACGGGAAATTTTTTTATAAAGGCCAGGGGGGAGAACCTGTTCTTTACCAAATCCAGGGGGGAGAACACCCTTGTAGCGGGCTCATAATTGAGCCCGGTCAGTGGTAAATACCATGGCCAAAAGGAACCATGTGGCGTCAGCAGAGCTTCTGCGGTTGCGCAGAAGGGCGAAGTCCGCCATGTTTTTGCGGACAAAAAGATGGCGGCGAAGTTACCGAAAAATGACGAGCCGGTCCTCCAGGAATTATTATATACCTCAGTGGGGTGAACGGGGAATGGGGGAATCGGGTAATGGAGGAACTCGGGAGCGGGGGAACTGGGGATCAGCGAAATGGAGGAACTGCGGGGTGGGAGAACTGGGTAACGGAGGAATGGAGAGCAGGGCGATGGAGAAACTGGGGAGCAGAGGAGATGGGGAGCGATGGATAGAAAATGGGAAATGGAGGAACAAGAGAATGGGGGACCAGAGATGGGAAGTCGGAGGAAGGGGAATTCCTCTGTCGTTCTGTCCCCCAGTTCTCCTGCTATCCTTCTCCCCCATTCCCCTGTTCTCCTACTCCCCAGTTCCTCCAAAGTAACACACAAAAGTAACATAACTGTAAATACTACAATTTCTTTTATTCATATGGATCCGCATAATGTACTATATAAAACATATTAGGAAGCAAAATGAAAATTATATACACAGAACAGTTTCTTGAGCAATGTTATTTCCATATAACATATGTTCTGTTGCATTTTTCATTATATTTTGAATAGATATCACTATTCAATTGAAAATTTGCATGCCAACTAAATGTACACACTAGCTTATTGTTTCCACATGATTTACTAAAAGGGATGTATATTATGATTTTTCACTTGGGTAATATGTAAAGTTTCACAAAACACTTTCCAGGTTGGCATTATGCAAAATAATAACAATAATATTGAACAATTTTCATCTTTTAAACGTAGAACAGATAGATATAAAAACAGTTTCTTTCCTACCATGATCAGCACATTAAAAAAAAATTTTAAAAATTTTTAAGCTATCTTGTAAAATAGTTAGATATTTATAGATATTTTACTTTATATATTTTACTTTATAACTTTTAATAATTGTAAAACACATTGTAATTTATTTTTTATGCAATGATGTGTTATTAAATCTCATCTTTAATAGTGTTGAACCTAATTAAAGGAAAAACTGTTACTACATCATAGGCGTGTATACAGTATTATCGCTTTCTGCATCTGGAATCCTAATTACAAATATATATTTATATTGTTATTATTTTGCATAATGCCAAGTCACAAACTAAAGATCATATTCTTCCTGTGTGGCCAAGTGTTTTTTGAAACTTTAGATATTACCCAAGTGAAAAATCATAATATACATCCCTTTCAGTAAAAATTAAAACTATAAATAGCATAATGGTATTGTTGTGTGACTTTTAAAATCATGTGGAAACAATAAGCTAGTGGGTTCATTTAGTTGGCATGCAAATTTTTAATTGAATAGTGATATCTATATTCAAAATATAATGAAAAATGCAACAGAACATTATGTTATATGGGAATAACATTGCTCAAGAAACTGTTCTGTGTATATAATTTTCATTTTGCTTCCTAATATGTTTTATATAATACATTATACACATGTATAATTGTGATCAGACCATATGAATAATAGAAATTGTAGTATTTACAGTTTTGTTACTTTTGTGTGCTACTTTGGAGGAACAGGGGAATGGGGAAGCTGGGTAGCAGGAAAACTGGGGAACAGAGCCACAGAGGAATTCCCTTTCTCCCCACTCCCCATCCCCGGTTCCCCCATGCTCTTGTTTCTCCGTTCCCCCGCTTGTCTCTATCCATCACTCCCCATCTCCCCTGCTCCCAAGTTCCTCCACCCCCCTGCTCTCCTTTCCCCGTTACCCAGTTTTCCCACTCCGCAGTTCCTCCACTCCGCAGTTCCTCCATTCCTCCCACTCCCCAGTTCCTTCCTTCCCCCCTTTAAAGATAGTCCTTTTGAATTTCCGAACTTCAAAATGCACTTCCGAACTTCAAAGTGCACGAAATTCAAATTTCCACAAAGTGACGAAGACAGGATTTGATGTGACATTTTCTATTCAAATCGTTCCGACTTTTATCGAAGGTTATCCGCATCTTTAATATCCACATCTTTATTTTCAAATGTTAGGTCTGTGAAAACTTGCTGACCACAGCAGGCACAGCTGTAGACTCTTGGGAAATTATAAGGGGGTCTTCCAGGGAATATGGGCCATATTGCAAGTGACAAGTGTACTATCCTAATACAAAAAGCATGATTTTGGCAAATTACACACGTCTAATATTTTAAAGCTACCTTTTTTGAACAAATTTCATGTCGTGTGCCAGTCTTTTCATATTCTGATCATCTGGATAGGGCACTTTGATCATATGAGGTTCCATCGGTTCTGTTTGACAGTATTCCTCTGCTGAGTAGCCAGGATGGTTGCGAGCTATTACAAATCCATACGGAAAAGTTATTTTGGTGAATGTTTAAACGCAAAATTATACTATATATATACATTAAATTTGTAACTTGCAAATTCCGCATTCTTTCAAAATAGGTCTGGTCGGTTAGACTGGCAGAGCATGAATGCCATGTATCAAAAAGAAGTCCTTCTTCACCTCTTGGCAAGAAAAATTTAAAAGGAATGAACAAAGGCATGAAGTTTAGCTATGCCGCTAAAGGACAATGACTACAAATTTTTAAAGAGCATTTAATAAAACCTTCTTAAAGCTTTTGTCATATGACGCAAGCTCGGTGGGATCACGTAACGAAAGTTTTTATTTCGACAGGTTTTGTTACCTGGTGGTCTGCCGGTAAAGCCCTGCTCTTCTGATAATTTCTGCGCGGTCAATGAGCAAAGACCATCTTTTTTGATCGAAGAATCTGTGGCCATCATGATCTAGAATAAGAATAAGACAGTGAGGAATAGGACGTCGTCAATGTTATATGTTTTCAAGCAGGAATTATTGAATTATTATATTAAATTATTATACTAGTATATATGTTTATATAGTATATATGTTTAAATGTACAATATGTATTCTAGTATATTGTTAAGTCACTTGATCAGACCTACGCGGAAAAGAATAGAGACGACTTTCTGATAGTTTTCTATTCTGTGCCTTCGACGTTTAATGGTTATGCTACTTGTGTGCATGCGCGACATTTGAACGAGGCTGGTAATCACTGGTAAGATAAGACTGGCAATCAACAACTGCCTATTCTGTCAGCCTCAACTGTCATTTTGCAAACATTTTAAAAAATTTTTTTGGGAACTATCAAAATAAAATGTGAAAAATAGGATAAAGGTGAAGGATGACTATGGAAAAAAACTTGGATATACAGTTCAAGACAAACTAATAATTGTAACTATAATAGTATAACCAAGTATAGGTTGAACCTCTAACTTTCTGGGTCTGGCAGGATTTTCCAAGATGTTTTTAAGTAATGGGTTAGTTGGCCGTTGGGGACTGCAGGAACTAGGTATTGATATCGAGTAATCTATTACTTTTAATTTTGACGGGTTTCAGATACTAATGTGTCAGACATTGAAAAGGCATTCCATTAGGTGCAGATCACTCCATCAGATAGTTGCCTGGTAAGGTTTCTCTGGTTCGATGATATCCTATTATCATTACAATGATGACAATCCTATTATCATTACAACTCACAGTGGCAAGAGCATTGCACCGGCATAGCAAAAGCGTAGGTTCGATTCCTGCCGGAGGACCGATAGTTGACTCATATTTCATCAACTGTTCCCGGCTTGAATTTGAAGTGTGTATAATTCCACTCGAAAGTAAGACCCTTTCAACCTCCACAACTTTATTATGTGTATAGAGATTTATGCACAGCAGAATGATGAAATGAAAATCGTACTTTCAATTTCATGCAATTTGATTGGACGTACGATGATTTTCACGTGTGAAAAATTCCATACACGCGCGCGGCTTTTGATTTGGACGTACGATATTCTTCACAGGTGAAAAATTGTGGTAAGTCATTTTGGCGACAATTTGTTTACATTTTTTTCAAGATGGCGTCGAAATATATAGGAGTGACTTTAAAAACATAATTCTTATATTCAAGATTCAAGACATTTTCACATTCAGCACATGAAATCTTTCGGAAAGAATTTCTATTGAACAAAATTACAAAGAAACTGAACGGTAATAATTATTAACAAATTACTTCATGGTTGGCGAGTGCGTACGATTTTTATGCAAGTGTTGCGAAGGATCTTTATTTATTTTTTGCTCTGAACTACAAAATTACAGCGTTTAAAAGAGGGTTGGGATAAACTTAGAATTTTGCCGTACAATGTAAATGAAGCTGAAGTTCGTACAGGAGAGTAGCGCCAGTCCCTATGCCAGCGGTTTAATCCGCTTCACATAGTTACCTACTTCATGTTTACATAATCGTCCTTGTTATTGTTATGTTAATAAAGCACGCTTTATAATCGCTTCTCCTGGTAAACCAGGACCTCATTTTTTATATTGGCGTGGTGACAGCGGTTCACAACGTATTCACGCCTCGACAACTGGTACATTTACCATCCTCAAGCGAGAAGACCGAACTTTATAAAGGTTAGCTATTCTTGAGCTAAAATTTTCCGTGCATTTTCTTAACAAACATGGCCGCCGTTCGCGCGCCAAAACAATGGCAGCTTTCCAGGAACGAAACCATAACTTCATACGAGAGCTGGAGACAGAATTTAATGTACATTTTATCCTTTGACAATAATTTCGCACCCTTCCTTGAAGCTACATGGCTCAAGAAAACAGCCACCAACCCTCACCGTGGGCTGACCGACGACGGGAAACTGTTCCCGAAGCTAGACGACTAACCGCAGCTCAGAAAAATGCTTATTTGGATTTGTTATTGGGCCAAATCGCCAATTTCTGCCCAGTTGTGTCACAAAGCTCTATCGTTAAGAATTCGGATTCTCTTAATGATATCTGGCAAAAGATTCGCCAACACTATGGTTTCCAGTCCTTCGGAGCTCATTTCCTCGACTTGGCCACAATCATTCGCCAGCCGAATGAGCGCCCTGAAGATCTATTCCAACGACTTATGGCTTTCTTTGAGGACAATTTGTTGTCTGCTAACGGCGGTATCACTCATCATGGCGAGACCTTGGAGGTTGACGAAGATTTAACTCCAACCTTGGAAAATACCATTGTAGTTTTGTGGCTTCAACTGATACACCCAGGCTTACCGCTAATGGTGAAGCAAAAGTATGGTTCAGAGTTACGCAACAAGTCCCTTGCCTCTTTGAAACCTGAAATCTCCCAGGCTCTTACTCCCCTCCTTGATGAGCTTCGAGTAATCGAGGAGACTAGAGCAATGCGCGTCGGCAGCTCAGGTCCACGCCAGTTTACCCGTAACTCAGCTAGTTCGCAACGCAGACAGTTCCGTTCATGCATCCTATGCAAGACAGCCGGCCGCCCTCATTCAACTCACAACCTCATGGAGTGTCGCTTTCTACCAGAACACGACCGACGACCTTGGGCCCGTTCCCGTCTTTTAAGGGACGACCCTGATGAGTCCACCCCTGAAGACGATGAGTCCTTTGACCCTAGTCATGATGGTGTTGCTAGTATTGTTCACGTCGATAACCCCACTGTTCGCCGTGTCAGTATCGTCCAGTCACCTGTTCTTCACACCTTTTACCATCAGTATCCTGTCCAGGTTACCTTAGACACTGGGGCCACATCTAATATGGTTCGTGCATCCTCCGCCACCGCCTATGGCCTTCCAGTTACCCCTGCTTCTCAGATGGCACGACAGGCCGACGGCATTACTCCTATGGAGGTTGCTGGCGAAGTCCACTGCTCTCTTGTCCGGGGTTCATCTTCCTTCGAACTCGATGCACTTGTTGTGCGACACCTCGATGTTGAGATCTTGGCTGGTAATCCTTTCTTGGCCACCAATGATATCGCTATTCGACCTGCCAGGCGAAAAATTGTAGTCGGTGGTACCGAGGTCGTGCGTTATGGTCCCACATCAACGTCTCCCCATTCTACTGCCAGACGTACCCAATCCTTCTTGCTCCGTAATCCACAACTGACAGTGGTCTTACCCGGTGCTTACCCTCAGTTAAGCACGCCACTGGAGTCTGAGCCTGATGCATTGCGGGCCTTAGAGCCAAGAATTGACAGTCCATCCAACCTCCCTCGCAAACCTGAAGCTGCTTGGCCTCATCCGCAAGATATCGCCTCAGTCGACCATACCATACGCATTACTAACACCACCTCATCCCCAGTCTTAGGCAAGAGAAGCAAGATATTGTGCCAAGTCTGACACGTCATACCCACCCCTATCGCCGACCCTTCTGCCCTTTGTCCCTCCCCTCCACACTGTAAAGCAACCCCACCCTCTGTTCCCAATAAGCCGTTTTCCAGCACACTCGTTATCAATCCAGATTCCTCTTTGCCTCTGAAGGTTCGCGTCCAATTTAGGGAGCTTAACCTTGAGTTTGACGATGTATTCAACCCTTCCATCTCCAAGTATAATGGCGCCAGTGGCAAGATTGAAGCTGTAGTCAACATGAGCCCAACCCTCCCTCCCCAACGCAAAGGCCGCCTACCCCAATACAACCGTAGTACCATGGAAGCATTACAGGCAAAGTTCGATGAGCTCGAAGATGCAGGTGTGTTTGCTAAACCCGAACAGGTTAATGTTTATGTGGAGTATCTCAACACTTCCTTCCTGGTGAAAAAGCCAAATGGCGGAACATCTTTTGGCGAGGTTGCCCAGGGGCCGGTTGTTCAAAAGCCAGTTAACGCTAACCCAGGGTTAAAAATGCGTAAATTTTAAACCTTGCTTAATTTTAATTCACATCGATATTGTTTATCATACAAAATGGCCTTTCATTTCGAATCTTTCCAAAATTCCATGCACTCAAAACAACGTCCCTGCCACCCTGCCCTCGCGGCATATAATCTTTCGACTGACAATATATCCTCGTCGGGAGGAGTTTTGACGCTCGTTTATTGACCAATCGAAAACGTTCTTATATACAATTTAGTCCTTAGAATACATTTAATCTTAGGTTATATATTTTAACCCTGGGTTAACTAACCCTATACCGCTAACCCTGCTTTGAACAACACAGTTTTAACCAAGGTTTAGCTAACCTAGGGTTAAGGATTTTAACCCAGGTTTAGCACTAACCCAGGGTTAAATTTAACCTGCTTTTGAACAACCGGCCCCAGTACAGTAAACCACAGCCTTCCTTAACGACAATGTTTTACGGTCCATCGGCCAGTGGAAGTTCATCATCTGCACTGACTTGTTAAAGTCGTTCTATCAGATTCCACTGGCTGCATCCTCTATGAAGTATTGTGGTGTTACTACTCCTTACAAAGGTATCCGTGTGTACACTCGATCTGCCATGGGCATGCCTGGCTCGGACACATGTTTGGAAGACCTCATGTCTCGTGTCCTGGGTGAGCTCATTCAGGAAGGCTGCGTTGCCAAGATCGCCGACGATCTGTACATCGGTGGTAACCCCCCTAGCGAAGTCCTTTCCCATTGGCGCCGTGTCCTTATACTGCTTAGGAAGAACAACCTCCGTCTCTCGGCCTCCAAAACCTTCATCTACCCAAGGAAAGCTATAGTGTTGGGTTGGATTTGGTCCAACGGCACCTTACAGGCTAGCCCGCACAAGCTCTCCGCCCTATCCTCAGTAACCCCTCCTCCTACTGTGCAGGGTCTTCGATCATTTATCGGCTCCTACAAGGTACTCAGCCGCGTACTTCCAAAATATGCTTGTCTACTCGACCCTCTTGAGTAGGCCACAGCCGGGAAAGAGTCTCGGGACCGGATCTCCTGGTCCGATGAGTTACTCCTTGCTTTCAAGACCACACAGCAGGCGCTAGGTAACCACAAGACGATTACTCTCCCCCAACTCTATCGTCGACCGCGACCTTATACTCAGCCAAAGGGCATATCGTAAGAAAAACCACATACCCAGCGCTAGGTCGAAAGCGCCCGGCCGACTTTCGCCCTCCCATCCTTTCAGTCTCCATTGGTGACCTCGTATTTGTGAAAGGCGACAAGGACAAGACAAAGGCCCGTGATAAGTACCTCGTCACAGACATCGATAATAAAAAGATGTGTCATTTGCGGAAGTTCACAAGCTCCCAGTTCCGAAGTAAAGTTTATACCGTACCTACTCAGCCAAAGGGCATATCGTAAGAAAAACCACCTACCCAGCGCTAGGTCGAAAGCGCCCGGCCGACTTTCGCCCCCCCCATCCCTTCAGTCTCCATTGGTGACCTCGTATTTGTAAAAGGCGACAAGGACAAGACAGAGGCCCGTGATAAGGACCTTGTCACAGACATCGATAATAAAAAGATGTGTCATTTGCGGAAGTTCACAAGCTCCCAGTTCCGAAGTAAAGTTTATACCGTACCTCTCACCGACTGCTACCCAATACAGGCTGCGTTTCCATCATCCACCATACAACCACCCATCCGTGGTTACGACGCACTCTGCGACTCCGATGAGTCCGCTGTTGCCGAGATGTCACTTGACCAGTCCCCAAGCCCTGCTACTGAAAGCCTCGATCTTCCAGCACCTCCCCCAGTTCCTGACGCAATTAACCGTACACCAGTTCTCTCCACTCCTTCAACAACACCCATCAATCCTCTGTCTCCTATCGTCCCTCCAAGAAGGTCAACACGGGAGCGAAAAGCCCTTACTGGTGTACCAAAGACTGGGATTTGGATCCCAATTGACTCGCTCGGATCTCCCTCTTGAAACATTGTTGACACTGCCGCGTTTAGCTTACCATGCATGCGTAACCCCAAATATAATGGGGTATAGTAAGACGGGCACCGCGCCCCAGTTGTTGTTATTAAGTAGTTCATTTCTAATTATGTTGTCACATGTAAGCGTTAGTTCCATACCGGCTCGTGGACAAGGGGAAACTGGCCACGCCAGTCCCTATGCCAGCGGTTTAATCCACTTCACATAGTTACCTACTTCATGTTTACATAATCGTCCTTGTTATTGTTACGTTAATAAAGCACGCTTTATAATCGCTTCTCCTGGTAAACCCGGACTTCGTTATTTATATTGGCGTAGCGAATAACACAAAAAATTCAACATTTAACCTCACAAAATGAACTAGAATTCAATATTATGTCATTAATGAAACATATAAACTCTAATTTATGAAAATTTGTGTTTGTAAGTTGCGAAATAGGTACAGGAAAAAACAATTTAATCGAATTTATCTTCTCAAGGCAATAATACTGTTGATATCTTGTCAAAACAGTGTTTATTAGACATTAATTACCAAATTTCTTCGTATATTCGCAATCGTTGAGTCAGCTAACACTTTCGAATTGCATAAATGATTCCGGCAGCATTATTTTTTCGAAGATATTTGCATAAATTATTGGCAAAAATGTACAAAAACTAGATTTTGCAAAACAGTTAGTTCTTTTTGTCCGCAATCCGCATTTTATTCTTTTCGTCCGCCTGTCCGCATCCGCACTTTATCCCAACCCGTTTTAAAAGAACCATAACATAAATTAACATAAATTAACATAACTTAACAACCCATAAGTCCTTCAGCGAGCCATTTTATTTCTCTCTGTCTTCATCATGGATCGAGAGAATCAACGACAAAAAAATTAAGACGAAAAGAGGTTCGCGGCCCAGACAAAGGCGAATCGTCAAGTCAAACCACTCCTAAAGGAAGTTACACTGTCATATGACCAGCTGAATCACTTGAGTTCCATGAATGCTAACTCTAATTACTCTATACGCTTGGTCGGAAATGCCTCAGCAATGTCAAAAGAGAAGTGGTACAATACTCTCCAATATCAATTCCTCAGGAGCTCTCTCATCCTTGGCTTCCGAGGATTTTCCTGAGGCATGGAAATTTCTTCTCGGAGGAGGTTTCGGGACGAGAATAAAGACGCGTTCTGAAACCGCAAAAGCCTGGTTACAAGTCGTTCAAGTGGGTCAACGACATTCCCAGTTTTTTCCAGGTCGCACCACCCAGGTCCAAAAACGAATGAGCCGCTGGAGTACTGCTCAACGCCATCCTCTGCCATTCAACAGCAACAGATTCCAACCTCGCAGGTCATTCAGAGGCCGCTAGCAAAGTTTCAGGGGCTACGGACAAGTTCATCAGACCCCACCAATAGCTGTTTAACTAAACTAAGCTGTTTAACTATGATTGCTTAGAAAGTTTATTTATGGTTTATTGGAAATTAAAGGCAACATTATTTTTGAAGTTGGGGCAGAACATCATTGAACGCAGAACATAATTGAAATATCTAAAATGAAAGTCATATATAAGAGCCCTGTTAATTTAGCAATAAACAACTTAACTAAATGTGCCCTTCTTTGAGTAACTGATTGATTAATAAACTAAATAAAAGCTACTTCACTGATGCATGTGTATAGTATTATTTCATAGGTTTTGGAATGTGCAATTACTATATGTGAAAGTACTTCTTTTGTTGGTGGCCGCCCTCACTTTTCTAAATAGTTCAGCAGCCCTTGCAACCTAAGATATACTTTGTCATCCCTGAAGCAAGACTCTTGTGGTACTTATCTGTTTCATGGAAAATTGTCCTCTAGCTGAACAGCAAGCCCTATTTTTTATTTATGACCTTTGTTCAGATTTGTTGAAATACCAGTCAATGAGATGTGGAAAACAATTTACAAAATGATTCTGCTGCAGTAATTGTATAACTAATCACACATAAAATGTCATTACGTTGAATATTTTTTAAATCCATTTAAATCCATGTCCATATATGACAATAAACTATAATAGGAGACCTTTGATAACATGCAGGAGAATATATATAACTTTTACCTATAATATAAACAAGAATATAAATTTTTCAAGGTCTCTTTTTTATTCATCTATTTTACTGTGTGATAAATAATGATAATCATAATATAAACTGACATGTAACATTTATTCATTATTCATGAGGTAGAATTTGCATTCATACCTTTTGTAGAAATCATAAATGATTAAATGTTCTTAAACGTTGTACAAATTCTTTGTACATGGTAAAGTACGTATTTTCGTGATGAAATATTTGTACAGCCTGAATCTATCATCATAAATGGTAATGTAAAATCGCCTGAGGTGACACAGGAAACCTCCTCATTCAGAAATGACATTTGAAGGAGGCCAGAAAAAATTACATGACTATGAGCATTTTATTTACCCAATTGTTCTTTAACACTCAAATCATCTATACAAACGTTTCACAATTTGACTACTCAAATTATTTGTTCAACAAACTTATTAGCGGCAAGAAATGATTGGCCATTATATGAGTCAGTCTCGCCGCTCTAGTAATGGCCATTGCTGCGTTTGACGAATTCATAAAAATAAACAAATAGATTCCTTTCCCTTCTCAAATTACTTAACAAATAATACCAGTGATGAAAAAGTTTGTGAGCTAGATTTGTGTACAAAAAATAATTGTCCTTCAACAGAAGTCTAGCTATGTTATAAAATGCATATAATTGCTACTTCATGTTCTACACATAGACAATCAACAAGAGATTTAGTGATTTCGATGGCAGATTTTATAAAGTTTGTGAAGCTATTAAACCGGCTATATTCTGTTCGATGACTTAAACAAAATATGTCACTATGGACTAGGCAGAATACTAAAAAGGCTAAACGACATGCATATTCAGTAATTCAGCCTGCGTATAATAAGGCAATACTTTGTTTCTAATTTAAAAATTGAAACAAACGCGAAGATATACACTTACCCTATATCGAAACTATGCGGATGAAATTCTATACGGCGCCAAATGTTTCTCACGTTAAGTGTTGTAAGATTCTATAACGTTTCTACTCACTATGTTCTGGCCGCTTTTACCGCACTTCAATACGACGTGGGAAGAAAGCCATAATAGGTTTTGTGCCAAATGAGTTAGCAAGAAAGATAACAACGCGCGAATGACTCAATATTACCAGGCATTTGCATAAAAGCTCATGCTCAGCCACCACCTGGCGTGAAAATAACTGAAGCGTGCATCGACTATTCTTTATTTAATAAAAGAACAGAAATTTGACATGCATTACATATTTCTAAGCGCATATTATGAAGTTCACAATCAAAATAATTTCTCCTTACCTCTTGCAAATTTCAATAACGTAAAACACTTACAGGCTTAAAATCGACGCGAAGCATACAATATGTATTCCACTGTCACAAAATATTTGTGTACTCGTCAAACGAATACTGCATTCCATGTCCCTGGTTAGTACGAATGTTATTATGTCTAGCCCAATTTTGAGTGCATCTATGTCGACACTGTTAAAACACGGTGGGAAAAGAAAACATACAACAGATTCAAGACAAGGTTAAAGGACTAAATATATATACGTATATATATTATATATATATATATATATATATATATATATATATATATTATATTATTTATATAAGCGCTAAGCATGACGGTAGGAATATGCAAAGTTGCTTTCGAACGAAATGGCTGCCGTATGTGCGGTGAATTTCGTGCGAGAGAAGAATCGGCGGATGTTTAACATCATTTCGTGTCCATCGATGTTTTTTTTCTTTGGAAAATTGCGAGAAGGTTCGTCACTACAAAGCGACGAAATTTCATCACGATCTGGGCGTTAATGGCGATAAAAATCCGTCGAGAAGATGCCAAGTTGTGAACAATCTTCGCTCAAACTTGCTTGCGAAAAGTTGACTAACGTGTACTGAAACAGGTAAGTTCGCTTTTCAACTTGCGATCGGCTGATTATTTTTACAAAATAAGCGTGACTGATTGTGTTTCTTTTTGGATCTCAGCAGTATTTTACTTTTATTCTTGTGCAAATATCGTTTTAAGCTTCCAGAAATTGGCATATGTTGCCAAGATTTTGTTCGAATTTGCCACTAAGCTGCCCTTGGCCCTCGAAAATGTTTTTAGCTTGTTTTGGCGCGAAAATACCCGTATTTAAATAAGCAACACAAGCCGTAGCAACAATATATAAATTTGAAAATGTTTTTCTTGGTTTACTGCTGTTGTTTGTCCTCTAGTTGAAGTCTGCATTGGTTCATACCCTCCACTGTATTAATTTAATAAATTTTTCGTTGGTTATACAATATCATTTAGGTAAATAAATTTAATTTTTTTAACAATATAACATAGTAATGCAGGAATTTGGATTTTAAAATTTTTACGTGGTCAAATTCCCCACATTTACTCATAATACCTTTTCAAATACGCCACATACTGGGAAAACCTAAGTTCAAATGCCCCACCCCGCCTTATTGAATTTTCAGTGGAGTCAGTACTGAAAAATTTTATTTATGCAAACAAGAAAATAAGACAGCCAGCTCTTATGCAACAGTTAACAGCCAAGTTGTTTTGTTGACACCCATTTTCAAAATTAATTCATTATTTATAGTCTAGAATATCTTTCCGGAGAATTGCAATTGTTTTTTTTTGTTTTCCTTTTCATGCCGCATTTTGGTTCATTTTTCAAAATGTGTGTTGTTTATGTTTGCTTTCTTAGTTGGCCGCATATGTATGAAGACCAATAGTCCTTCAATTTTGAACACGGGTGTATTAAATAATCAATCTAACATGCAATCCTTTGACGCCATTGTTAAAACAATGAATGATGTAAAATTCCACTGAAAAATTCAAATTCCGACCCCCTGTCAAATTCCCTACCTTCCACTTGAATAAAAGGTCAAATTCCCACCCTCTTAAAATGCCAAATAAGCAAATTCCCCAGGTATGCCCGGGGGGGGGATGTTGACATTTCGATTTGATTCCTGCATAAATAAACATTTAGATAGAATATTTTAGGTAAATTGGTTTAAGATAGTTTAAAATTAAATAGATAGGATATTTTAGGTAAATTAAGTTAACATAGATTATAGTTTGAAACTAAATAAATATACACTGCACTGTAAGTGTCAAAATAAATATATAAATATAAGCATACAAATTTTTAAACCATATAATATGGAGAGTGAACCAAGCACTTCGCATGAGATGAATAATAGTGAAACTTTTGAATTTACTTGTCAAAGAATGTGTAAACGATACTTCTGTATACCACAGTGTGAAAGTGAAAGAAAAAATCCTGAGATGTCATTTTATAAAATTCCAAAAAATCCAGAGTTGAGGAAAAAGTGGGTATGTTTGTTGAAAAGAAAAGAAAAGGAATAAGGGACCCTGGATCCAGTCATAAAGTATGCTCAGCACATTTTGTGGGTGGTGCAAAAACATACAGCAACAATGTTCCACTACTACACACAAACCTATGAAAAGCCCAACTATTCGGACAATGGCAGCCAAAATTCCAGTAATTACTGAACAAACATATTTCAAAAATACAGGTAAAGAAAGCTCTGTTGTTGATTATAGCACAAGTAAAGATGATAATACACCTCTTTCATTATCAAATGATCCACGGATGGCAGACCTTGACAATGTGATTAGATTTTTCAAACAATTGGAAACATGAGCTCTCACTGATATTTAAAACCAAATCTGAAATAGCATCACATTTTATCTCATGGCAAACAATGTTTGATATAAATGTATCATAACTATCATTCATAAACTGGAGAACTTGTATACACCATTATATGCCAAGTTTTACCCTGTTATTTCTCAAATGGGGTGAACCATAAACAATTTAACTGCATGAAAGTTTAGTTTGGAACTGCTTTAGAACACAGAGATCATGGCAAACTTTTATTGGTTTGTTTCAAGATCCTATCATTTTCCGGTCAAACATGATCTTTTGAAATGTTAACAAATATTTGCAAATTTTCCATGTTACATGTTGCTTGTAAATAGCAGTATTAACATGCAAAGATGTCCCTTAATTAAAAGAAGGCAATAAAGTATTTACAATCTGGTATTGCCTTTTTTCCAGGTTACAGTCAATGGTTTTAAAGGACTTGTCTCATTCCTTAGAAGTCCAACTCTTCAAAGTCAACATCCAGGAGATCTCTACATCGTCCCTAAGAGGCTCAGTCAGGATGTTGTGGAATGCTTTTTCTCAATCCAAAGACAAGCTTGAGGAGGAACAAACAACATGACAGCATTGGAATCTACCCATGTCAATTGTAAAGATTACTTGTACTTCTTTGACTTATATGAAATAATTTGATTCAGTATATGTCATTGAAAATGTCAAATAACAGAATAATTGGTTTAAACCCATACAAGTACAAAAAATCCAAAATAATTGGCAAAAAGAGGCTAAGTAGTGATTGCATTTCTTACCCTGTTCAGTCATTTCACTGTGACTTAATATCTTGGAAAAGATATGTGTCCTTTCAGGTTGTTCAGAGTTCAGAACTGTATTTAATCATGCTTTTGAACCATGTTGCTTTCTACTATAATTTGACTCTCATGTTGACTGTTCAAGTATCTCTCATGATTCTGTTATTGCTAACACTTTCTGTACTCTTTGTTTACAAATGAGAAAGGGGTTTTAACATCAGAAGTGAAGAAGCATTAGACAACAGCAAGTCTGTCCAAAAAAAGAGCTTCCATTGAGTATTTGAGTAATCTGCTTTGGTTGAAGTTTGTTTTGCTAAGGACCAAATATTCTCCTTGGCTTCATTTTTGATAAGCCTGTAATAGCCCTAACTGGTGCAGGGCCCTTATATACCTGTATATAAGCACCCTTATCTGGTGTATCCTGATCAGTTGTACAGGTTGACAATGCTTGGGAAAGTTCAAGAGCTATCAATAATTATATTTCCATTTTTCATCGCTTGGACTAATGTTGCAATTAGCTTACTTTTCTTCTTCCCTAACAGTGCCGGCTTGCCCAGTGATTTAAGTATTTTTGAAAGTTTTTTCCCAGTAAGTTGCTGCAATAATTACTCCGCCTGCGTATGCGCAGCGGAGTCTTAAAATGCCATGGTCTTTTTTCCTTTTCGTCGTAGTTTTGGGCGACAGAAGTTGGCATTTCTACAGGTAACCCAAAACATTTTGACCGAGAAGCCCTGGGTTACACGGATGAATTATGTACATCAGTTGGCATTTAGGGAGGTTTGGGGGTGATTTTGTGCAATGTTTATTTTTCTACGAGTCCTTTGTGCCTCGTGTTTGAATCGACGTTCTTTCCTTGTGAAAAATTGAAAAATATGAATGTCGAATTGAAAGAGCTTTCACAACCATGTTCAACAACTACAAAGGTAAGTTGTTAAGATTTAGATTGTATTCATATGCTGTGGCGGTAATTGCATATATTAGTAAACCCAAGATTTTCTGTTTTATAGTTGATTTAGTGATTCACGTTAACGTAGTGTTTTAATACAAACTAGGTATATACAAAGTACTGTTTGCTCTCAGAAATTATAGATACTACAAGTTTAGCGACCCTGCATGGGTAGAGATTTCGATATTTCTATTTACTAGAGTCTATTTTAAATGTATAAATGATTTCAAAGCCTGGTCGAATTGTATGTAATCAGGACCCAACATTTTGACAACCAGTCTTTGGCAGGTGACATCATCCCTTGGGTATCTAAGAAGCTTTGATTCCAGCTTTAGATCACCCCTGATGAAGACACTAGAGTTGACTGGACTGTCGAAACATTAGGTCCTGATTACAATTTGACCAGGCTTTGTGATCATTTATATAAACCAGAGTAGCGAGCGATAACAGGGTTAAAAGGGGTATTAAAACTGTTCCTATTACAGGATTGATTTGCCAAACTTATAAAACTTTATTTTTGTTCTAATTCACAGGCTTTGGTGCTCATTCGCAGGAAGTTGCAAAAAAAATTAATTTCCCTGAGTGTGAATTCCATGAATGCACATTTGAATACCAAGTCACATTAGAATACCAAGTCACATTTGAATACCAAGTCACATTTGAATGCCAACTTAACTTTAAATGCCAACTTACCTTTGAATGCCAACAATGAAGTTACAATGAATAAAGTTATATTAATTAATGAAGTTACATCAGTAAACAAAGTTAAGCAACTGAATGAAGTTACATCATTAAATAAAGTTACATCAATGAATAAAGATGCATTTATGAATGATTTCATATTAATGAATACAAAATGTATAACAAAAAATCCCAAAAGTTTGACAGACAACAGTTTGACAGGCAACAGTACAAAAAGCACCTCATTTTGTAACCTTTTGTCACCTGTAGTGTTTCCTCATCTGCAGGCGGAGTAACGCCTTGAGCAGGCGTCTTGTTCTTCTTGTTTTGGATAAACAGACAAACTGTGTAAGAATTCAGCAATGCTAGCATGTGTTAAACCTGCAGATCTAAGCTCACTAACTTCTTTTTTAATAGCAGGATTTTTCTTAAGAGGTTTACTTTTGTGTTTAAGTTCTTGCCGTATTGCCACGCTTCCCTTATTTGGTTTTAACCCACTTTTTTCTCTAATTATTTGTTGCTTCGACTTAAAAAAAAAGTAACAATTCTTTGAAGAACAATGGATGTTGCATCCGACTTTGGTTCGTGAGGTACTCAGGAAACAATTATAGATTGTGGTTCTTGAGGTACTCAGGAAACAATTATAGATTAATTAAATAAGGTACATTAGTTATGTTATATTAGTTCTGTTTATATTAGTTTGTGACAATGACATGTGTCAGTTGACACAAAAACTAGATTGCATGTTAAAGTTAAAGCCAATTGAAACTAGGAACTCCTATCAAAAGGATCTAAAAGTAAAGCTAACCTGTATTGTCGACACCTGTATTGCTAACCTGTATTGTATTGCTAACCAGATAAATATTGAATGTAGCCCTGAGGACACGCCAAAGAAGTAAGTAGCAACGATTAATTTCTTAACTCATTTACATTATTACTTTACTTATAATTCTTAATATTGTATATATATAGATCGAATAGTATCAGTGTCAGTGTTAATAAACAATCAAAAGTCAAAACTATACGATTACGTGTCTACTACATTCATCGAAATAAAGCGCATAACTCCAACGGACCATAGCATTCGATTTCTGCCTCTCCGTGAAAGTGAGTCCCGAGGGGTTCTGCGACCGAAACAATGAATGAAAACGAAGGAACTTCATCGGCGGTTGCCACCACCGACGAAGCAAGGCTAAAGAGTGCAAAAATGAATCGACGAACCGCGAAAGCCGCATTGACGAGAGCCGGAAAAGCCCTGAACCACCTCATTGACGCAAAGCGGCCGAAAGAAGAGGTAAGCGAATCTCTTCTTTTATATAAGAAAACGTACGAGACTTTGGTATCAAAGCATGAAGAATATACCAGTCTGATAGAAAGCGACGAGCTGTTTACAGAAGAGGAAAGTTGGTTAGATAACTGTCAAGAAACGTTCATGAATTTGGACATAAAAGCAAAGTTATATACGGAGGCGATAGTAGAAAATATCAGCGAGCCGTTAAATGCTAACGTAGGTGCATGTACTAGTAATTCAAGTCTAGATCAATCTGAGCAAAACATGGACGGTGAAACTAGCATGCAAACGTCTAATGGAATTTCAACAATTTCAAATCACACATCTGGTAGTATAAATCTGTCGCCTGCGGCTCAGGCGCCCAATCCTGTCATCACAACGGGCGATCCCATTCCAACTGAACACGCAAATCACCAGATAACGAGTCAAACATGTAGTTTTAAAATGGAAAAGCCTAAAATGCCCAAATTCACCGGTGATGTAAGAGAGTACGCAATTTTCCGCGCAGATTTTAAGTACGCTGTTGAATCAAGATACGGTAAACGCGACGCAATGACATTTTTGCGAACATGCCTCCAGGGTAAACCACTTGAGCTAATTAAGGGAATAGGTACAGATTACGACGCAGCGTGGGAATACCTTGACTCCGTTTACGGAGATCCGCGTTATGTCTCGGACACGATAAGTCAAGATATTGCTAAATTTAAGCCGCTACGCGAAGGCGAAGACTCCCGATTTTGCGAATTAGTTCACTTAGTTCGACGATGTTATAACACATTGAAAGAAGTCGGGCTGCCCAGTGACATGGACAATAGCCATATGTTGTCCATAATAGAGCAAAAAATGTGCGTCGACGACCGGAAAGTGTGGTCACGAGAACTACAGAGAGATGGAAAACCGGCGTCGTTAAAAGGTTTGATCGATTGGATGTCGACAGAAATGAAGTCGCGTATGCGTGCAACAGCGCCGATTAGAGCTGTTGGTAGTAATAATCGTTTCATATCGCATTTAATGAAAGGTGATGAAGGAAAACATGACATTGCGAAACATAAATGTTGGCTTTGCAAGAATTCCACCCACTGGCCTGATCAATGTGAAAGGATCAAAGGTATGACACCTGAGAGTCGCCTGAGCGTTGCCAAAGAAAACCACGTGTGTTTTGGTTGCCTGAAACGAGCCGGTCGAGACCATAGGATGTCAAACTGTAACAGACGTAGACAATGCACGGCAATCGACGATGACAAGCAATGCACCTCCTTCCACCACCCTTTACTGCACCAAAGTACGAAAGCTAAAGTTGGTGTCGCATTGACAAATGAAAATCAAGAGTCCCTTCTTCCAATGATTTCCGCAAATATCTGTGGCGCTAACAAAATCTACAAAAGAGGAAATGTTTTGTTCGACAGCGGTGCGCAAATCAGCTTGATCAAACAAGATACAGCAGATCATCTCGGTTTGAAAGGCAAGGCTGTGTCTATAACGATAACGAAAGTTGGCGGGGAAGAAGAGAGTGTCAAGACGAACGTATATAAAGTACCAGTCACATCATTGGACACCCGAAAGACCCATTCCGTAACGGCAGTCGGAATTTCATGCATCAGTGATGACGTAATGGAAATCAAGCTCGATAGAGTAGCAGATAAGTTTGGCATAACGCAAAGTCAGATAAATCGTGGCAAAGGCAGCAAAGACTTGTTGATCGGAATCGATCATGCTTTCATGCATACCGGAGAAACAAGACAGAACGGACGTTTAGTCGCAAGAAATTCGCCGCTTGGATGGGTAGTGTTCGGATCTGCACCTGGAGAAGCTAAGAACGTGCATAAGATATTCCACGTCAAGTATGCCATGGCCGTAGATTTGACGGATTTCTGGACAACGGAATCAATGGGTGTACAAGTAGAATCGTGCCTATGTGAACAAGATAAGCTCAGTCAGGTTGAACGCGAAGAGAAGATTTTGATCGAAAAATCTTGCAAGAAAGTAGGAAATAAATGGTTAATTCCGTACCCGTGGAAAAGAGACCCAAAGCAGCTGCCGGACAATCGACCCCAAGCAGTAAAACGGTTAGAAACTACAGAACGGCGACTTTTAAAGAATCCGGAACAGGCAGCAGCTTACGACAAGCAAATGATTGAAATGAACGAGATGAATTATTCCCGAAAATTATCCGATGAAGACATCAACAGTTATGAAGGCCCAGTTCATTATGTTTCCCATCATGGAGTCCTACGTCCCGAAAAAGCAAGCACTCCGTTGCGTATCGTATTCAACTCATCCGCAGTCTACCAAGGACACTGTCTGAATGAATACTGGATGAAAGGTCCGGATCTTCTGAACAGTTTATTTGGTGTAATCCTCCGATTCCGAGAGAATAAAGTCGCAGTCTCTGGCGACATCTCTAAAATGTACCACCAAGTATTGATACCCCTAGAAGATCAACACGTCCACCGTTTCCTCTGGCGAAATCTGGATTCAACCCGAGCACCAGACACCTATGTGAAGACAGTCCTCACGTTTGGAGATAAACCAGCTCCAGCAATGGCACAAGTAGCACTGCAAAAAACGGCGGAAGAAGGAAAGACCACGAGTGAACGGGCTGCAATGGCGATCAAAGATAACAGCTACATGGACGACATCTGCGACTCCGTGCAAACAATCGAAGATGCAAAGAAGTTGACCGAAGATATCGACTCCATCTTAGAAAAGGGAGGGTTTAAGATAAAGGCATGGCAATCAAATGAAGACCTCGAGAAGAAAGTGGAAAGCAAACAGCCGAAAGATGTAAAACCTCTCCAACGAAGTTCTGAAGACAAAGTGTTAGGAGTCGTATGGAACAGCTTCAAAGACGTTCTAAGCTTTGTAACGAAAGTTGAGCACAATCAGCCAAACACGAAACGCAGGATTCTAAGCCAAGTCGCGAAAGTCTACGACCCGATTGGTTTCGCCACAGCGTTCATCATTCGAGCAAAGATAGGAATGCAAGAGCTATGGCAAATGGGAGTTGACTGGGATGATGAACTGGATCCAGCCGTACAAGCGAAGTGGCTGAAATTCTTCGAAGAACTGGGACGGTTGAAAGAAGTATCCTTTCCTAGAGGTCTGTTCGTACTCAACAGCATTGGTCTGCCAATTCTTTGTATCTTTGCTGATGCGTCGGAATATGCATTCGGAGCGTGCGCATATCTTCGCTGGAAAAAGGAAGATGAAACGTTCGAAATTCGTTTCGTCCCTGCCAAGTCACGCGTTGCACCATTGAGGAAGTTAACGATTCCACGACTGGAGTTACAAGCGGCACTTCTAGCATCACGCCTGTCAAAAATCATTCAAGAAGAAACGTGCCTCCAATTTGATAGAATCATATATTTCATCGATAGCACAATTGTACTAGCCTGGATACGAAGCACATCTCACGTGTACAAGCAGTTTGTCTCCTCTCGAATTGGAGAGATCCAGAGCAACAGCGATCCCACCCAATGGAGACACATACCAAGCGAAGCAAATGTGGCCGATGACGTCTCTCGAGGAATAGCAGTTCACGAGTTAAACGAAAGATGGCAGCATGGTCCCGAGTTTCTACGTCTACCGGAAGAAGATTGGCCAGAAGATAAGTCAGACCTTAGCAAGCAAGAAATGCCCAAAGAAACACGGAAAACAGTTTGTACCCTGAAAGAAACCAAGAGCCCGATAGACCAGAAGAAATATTCATGCTGGAGAAAATTAATCAGAGTCACCGCCTACGTTCTAAGGTTCGTAAGAAATGTTAGAGACAGAATAAATAAGCCCAACGAGAGCACCGGACAGTCAAATAATAATGAAAGTCTTAGCCCACGAGAATTAGAAGAAGCCGAAAGGTACTGGATAAAGGATGCCCAAAGGAATCTTCACAATCGAATAAAGAAAGGTGAGCTGAAAACACTAAGCCCATTTACGGATGCGGACGGAGTCATTCGAGTCGGTGGAAGAGCGGACAGAGCAATGACATCGTACGAGTCGAAACATCCTGCACTGCTACCGTATGAATGTTGGATATCTCTCCTCATTACTCGCCAGTCGCATAAGTTTGGTCACAACGGAGTAGCAACCACAGCAGCAAAAGTCAGACAGAACTACTGGATCATAAGAGGCCATGATCTTGCAAAATCGGTAAAATACAAATGCGTGTTTTGCAAAGGAATACAACCCAAACAAGAAATCCAAGTAATGTCCGAATTACCCGAGTTACGATTGGCCCCACACACCCCACCATTCCACTTCACGTCATGTGACTACTTTGGTCCTTACAAAGGGAAAATCGGACGGAACAAGACAACGAAGCATTACGGAGTAATATTCACGTGCCTCAACACGCGAGCTGTGCACCTCGAATTAGCAGTAGATTGTTCAACCATGGATTTCCTGCAAGTATTAAGGAGATTCTTCGCAATAAGAGGATACCCGAGATGCATGATAAGTGATAACGGAACACAGCTAGTTGGAGCCGTGACTGAGCTTCGCAAGATGGTAAAAGGATTAGACGCAAAGAAATTGCAAGAATTCTCAGCGGAGCGCGGTATGGAATGGAGATTCATAACACCTGGCTCCCCGCATCATAATGGCTGCGCTGAAGCATTGGTCAAGAGTGTAAAGATTGCGCTGAAGAAGGCTATTGGTGATGCTTTGATGACGCCTTTCGAGCTCTACACCTGTCTGATCGAAGTCGCAAACCTGGTCAACCAACGCCCAATCGGACGAGTTCCGAACGATCCCGATGATGGCAAGTACATTTGCCCAAACGACATGCTCCTCGGGCGAGCTTCGTCGCAAGTACCACAAGGACCATTTAGAGAGACTAAAGACCCTCGGAAACGTGTCGAATTCATACAAAGAATAGTGGATTCGTTTTGGCGGCGATGGACCCGTGACGTCTTCCCTTCCCTGCTCCCAAGAAAGAAATGGAACACGACGACTCGCAATGTGAAAGTGAACGATATAGTCATGGTAGCTGATGATAACGCAATTCGTGGAAAATGGACGATAGGATGAGTGACGAAAGTGTTCCCTGGAAAAGACAAACGAGTTCGAAATGTAACGGTCGTGACATCTAGAAAAAGATACAGTAGACCGATCACAAAGATAGCAGTTATCCACCCGGCAGAAGATACCGAAGAATGAGAGAACCCTCATTGGGGGGAGAGTGGTTCGTGAGGTACTCAGGAAACAATTATAGATTAATTAAATAAGGTACATTAGTTATGTTATATTAGTTCTGTTTATATTAGTTTGTGACAATGACATGTGTCAGTTGACACAAAAACTAGATTGCATGTTAAAGTTAAAGCCAATTGAAACTAGGAACTCCTATCAAAAGGATCTAAAAGTAAAGCTAACCTGTATTGTCGACACCTGTATTGCTAACCTGTATTGTATTGCTAACCAGATAAATATTGAATGTAGCCCTGAGGACACGCCAAAGAAGTAAGTAGCAACGATTAATTTCTTAACTCATTTACATTATTACTTTACTTATAATTATCAATTATTGGACGAGGTCGAGCAAAATATCGTGATTTGTCGGTGGCGAGCATATCAATTATTTGCCGATGCCGAAGGCAGAGGCAAATAATTGATCTGCGATCCGAAGGCAGAGGCAAATAATTGATCTGCGAGCCACCGACAAATTACGATATTTTGCGAGAACCGAGTTCAATAATTGTTTTATCATTCACCATTCAATTTTCAATTCATTCACCACTCAATTTTCAATTTTGAGTTCGTTTTATCGGACAGTTCGGCAAAGCGAGTCGCCATTGTTTATAAAATTGACATTAATGCGCATGCTGAGAGTATTATTTGCAGCTGAGTATTATTTGCACGCAGTTAACTGCAGGTAAATTAACCAATCAAAATTGAGAATACTATAAAGTGAATGATAATTCTTAATATTGTATATATATATATCGAATAGTATCAGTGTCAGTGTTAATAAACAATCAAAAGTCAAAACTATACGATTACGTGTCTACTACATTCATCGAAATAAAGCGCATAACTCCAACGGACCAGATTGATTAAATAAGGTACATTAGTTATGTTATATTAGTTCTGGTTATCCCCGAGCCGGTGCGAAGCGCCGTGCGAGGGTACTAATTCCGCTGGGAGATTTATTACACCCGGGTATTGTGACAGAACATAGCGGAATCCAAAGTTGCTCAAATTCTATGTCGTGGACCGTGGACGTTCAATGGTCATGGTACTTGTGCGCATGCGCGAAATGTAAGCGAGTAAAGTACTGGTAATTAGTAACCCGCTGATTGGCTAAGATGAACAGTTTGGATTAAAACGTCAGCAATTTAACTGTCATTTTGCAAACTATTTTTTAAAAAAATGTCTCGAAAACAAAATATGAAATGTGGAATCAAATAACAGATAAAACACTGGGAAGAGTTTAAGATATTATCAGAACTGGAAGAATTAGCGGTGAAAAGGAACAACTGGTTTATAATCCTTGAAATGGTAGGAGTCTATTTTGTTTATTTCGAGGTTTATTTCGTGTTTGCTGTACGAATACATTTTATGAGCTTGGTACAGTGTGTCGTTTTGCTCGGTTTTGCGAAGACGTGACCGACTATTTAAGGCTTTACATCATCGTTTTAACTCAAAAAGAGTTCTTAAAAGTGTATTTTGGAGTTTTAATATAGCAAATATCACTCTAAAGGTTTATAGAGTCGACTGCAATCACTGCATGAATTTAACAATCGAAAAACAGCATTCGACGTTCACTGCTTGGTTATTTATATTATTTGTGCTGTTTTGATGTTTTGAAGGTTTAGATATAATGGAGTATTAACTCTCACTTAAACTGTGAAAGTCTATAACTTAATGCAACGGAAAGCAGCAGGTAAACGGGTGATTTCACTTCACCTTTACGACTGTATTTGTTTCCGAAAAATTTGAAACATCAGCTATCGGCTTTACATTTAGGACATTTCATAATATTGAAGGTTAGGTCTGGCTAGCTCAGGAAATATTTTGCTTCGTTTGAAATGGCGAGGGGTTGCTGCATGCATGTATTTCTAGTATTAGTTTGTGACCATGACATGTGTCAGTTGACACGAAAAGTAGATTGCATGTTAAAGAAATAATAATAATAATAACTTTAAGTGTCAGAGAAATATAGCAGTATAGACCCACTAAGTAAGGACACTATTTACATAGTATATATTAACTAATAAAATATGAATTTCTACATTATACGATACGACTAGAAATATTTCGTACTACAAACTATTATGTACTACAAACTGAGCAGTTCTTGCACGTATCAGTTAATCAGTTAATTAAGCAGTTCTTGCACGTATCAGTTAATCAGGTAATTAAAGCGAATTGATACTAGGAACTCCTATCGAAAGGATCTAAAAGTAATGCAGGAATCAAATCGAAATGTCAACATCCCCCCCCCGGGCATACCTGGGGAATTTGCTTATTTGGCATTTTAAGAGGGCGGGCATTTTAAAAGCTAACCTGTATTGTCGACACCTGTTTTGCTAACCAGATAAATATTGAATGTAGCCAGGACACTGAGCTATATAATAATTCCTGGAGGACCGGCTCCTGTCAAAAAAGTGAAGCAAGAAACATGGCGGATTTTTTCGTGCTGACGCCAGATATGGGCCCAACTGGCCATGGCAGTGACCACTGACAACCGCGATACAGTGCTTCAGGCGCACTCCTTCGCCCTCCGGCTGTTTTCAAAAAACTTTTTATATATATTTTTTAATTTTTCGGTATTTTTTTAACCGAATCTTGTTTTCTACTATTTTTTTTGACGTGAAGGAAGAACTACCTATTTTTTCAATTCGTGGATGCTGTTAGTGGCTAAAAGGGGGGATATCGACTCGCACTTGTAAGACTTACATTTGTTTAAAATCTTCGTCGGTGGCATTTTGAACTACAGCTTGCACAGAAATACAATGTACAAAAAACATATATATATTTTTTCCGAGCTAGGCGAGCTTCAAGCTTATAATAATGGATTGGAGTTTATTCTAAGTGCAGTTGTTTACCAATCATTCCAATCTTTTGTGCCAAAATGATGTATTTCAAAATTTTGTTGCAAGATCCTTGCACTTGCCTAGGCATTTGTACCATTCCCTGTATCCCTCAGTATGCATGTGTATCAAGCTGAAATTTTAAGCTGAAGTTTGATAATTTTGGCCAAGGCCATAACAAAGTTATATGGACTAGTAATTTACATGTAAGATTGTTTTTACCACAGGCAGCCCGGTCACTGGTGTTACGTCATGCTATTGTATATGTATATAATTACAATAAGGCTGGCAACTCTCTCACAAAAAATATAATACATACATTTATACCATCGCTTAAAACAAAAATACTACGCTAGTTTCTTAAAAAAAAACAGATACAAAACACCTTGGATATATTGACTATATTTATCTGTCGTTTTTAGACTTGAAAAAAACTCTAAAATGCTCAAATTTTGCGAATTAAAATTGTATTTTCGTTGAAATTTTGCGAAACAGAGGCGGGATATAGTTTACTCGACAAACGTCATCATCGGAGAATTCGTCGGTAAATTTCTGATTGGCTGTGGCAAGTTCGGAAAATAACGAAGATCTTTTTTCTTTATTGAGTTGACCTTCGTAATTTTCCGAACTTGCCACAACCAATCAGAAATTTGCCGACGAATTCTCCGATGATGACGTTTGTCGAGTAAACTATATCCCGCCCACTGAGCTATATAATAATTCCTGGAGGACCGGCTCCTGTCAAAAAAGTGAAGCCACTAAGATGGCGGATTTTGAGCTTTGCTGACGCCACTTGGTTCCTTTTGCTCATGGTAGTTACCACTGACATACCGCGATACAAGGTGAAAAACTGTGTCCATCACCCTCCCGATTTTTACGAAAATATTTTCAGCTTTCCGTATATATTTTTTTGTTTTTCATATAAAATGGATAAAAGCGTTTCTCTTTTTCCCTGTTCAACAAATGGAAAGGACACGTAGCTTCGTGCTCTGCGTCTGACGTTGTGAATGGCTTAATTCACTTATCGGTAGAATGAATTTTCTCATTTTGCCCTTATTTTATAAAATCCAGGTACAGTTAGTCGCCCAGTTTCTGGACAGTACCAGTATTTGGACACTAAGGGTTTGTTTTAAAATATTCCTTCAGAAAATAAAAACGAAACAAAACCGATACATTTCGATGATAGACCGACAGTTCACGATTTTCATGAAGGTTTTATTTTCTTTTTCGATGTCTTTTTCGTGAAGTTATCGAAGTTTTTGTCAAGGTAGGTAAAATGTTTTTTTCTAAAAAGGCCGCCATTGACCGTGCCGCGAATTAAATAGCACACTTAAGTTGAGTTATTTACTTTGAAAATATAACACATGTAGTTATTTTTTGTGTAGAAAAAAGCTACAAAGTCCGACTATATACCTGAAAAAGTTTTGGTGCCATTTTCAAAAATACTGAAATGTATTTACTTTTATTTCGTAGCTGATAGTTTTTTACGCACTTGCCCGATAACTGGACACCTAATTCCTTGTGTATATTTTAAATTCTGTTAACGCTAAAACAACACATTTGCACAAAATTTGCATGTGAGAACCATGTCAAAGTTTTAATCCTTGGCCACCAGTGCAATCCCATGGAGGAGGGGCAGTTATACCATGCCAGTATTGCATCTCATTAAAGAATTGCACGGATGCAGCCATGGTGGATTTGACATTTGCTAAGGTCAACAATGCTGTTGAAAATATGCAGGAAAAATCTGTTTTAACAATAAAAATGATTTAAATCAACTTGTGTTGTATTATTGCGTTAAATAAGAGATAATTAGGTAAACTTTACCTTGTATTCGAGTCAGATCCGATAATTTTTAAACTGTCCAAATACTGGGCATGATGTCCAGAAACCGGGCACGTTACCTACTCCGCGTTTATATCTTTTGACAAAACTATACACAATGCGCAGCGATTAAAACAATCATAATAGTAAATTGACCCTTTGAGCTGCCAAGTGGTAAAATTTTGTGTTTGGAGCGATCCTTGAAAGTAAGTTACGGCTTAAATATTACTTTCTGTCCAGAAACTGGGCGACGTACTGTAAGCCGTTTTTCAACTTTTTTTACTATAAACAATTTCGTTTTTGGCCTTCGAGTTTGGACTATAGTATAAACTGATTACCAAAGCCTCTGAGACAATAAATCCATCAAAACGTGTGGTACAAACAGCCTTTGGTACATTACAGTGCTGTCAATGCAATGTTATATACCCAAATTTTATCATTTTTTCTTAACTTGTGTCGGGGGAAAGTTAAAATTCCTGGCAGTGTCAATCTTTTGAGTTTGGTCTATGTTGTTTTCATGATAGCAAACATCAATGTTAATAGGTAAACCATTCCCCCCAGTGAGTCTACTATAGTCACTCGTCTATTGATCCCACCCAACATCAATTAACATGACCTGAGGGTGCTGATTCAAAATAATAAGTTGCTGTAAACAGTGTAAAATTCCAACCTCTGATAGTGAGCCCTGTTAAAGCCTAGGTAATATATTATCTTGTTTACCTTGTCAAATCCAAAGTGAAATGATCAATTATCACAGCTCTTAATTTATTTTTTAGCTTCTTGCACCTTGTGAATAAATCTTGATCATATCTCCATTTTTATTTTTCAGGATGAAGTTCATGCATTTTATGACTGTGCATTGTTATTCTTAATTTCCATGTTATCTGATTTTGTTGTTGTCTGGTGTTTTTATACCATTTGTCATATTTATTAATTATTGAAATAAATATAAACATGCATTGACTGAGCAGTGTGTC